AGCCATGTCTGGTGGCGGTCCCCTTCGAGCAGGCTGCCAAAGCGATGATCGTGTGACTGCTGCACACCAGCTGCGCGGAGTTGGAGCTGTGAGTGATCTGCAATGGGGCGCTCGTAAACGACGCCGGCATCAATTCTGTCGGTGTCCTGATTCTGAGCGAAGGGCAATCCATCGGGTAGTTGCTGCCCATTTGTTGTGCCGCCGCGTCGCTCTTCTCTCATGACACCCACAGTTGCGAATAAGCTTTCGCCGTTGTCACCGTCCCAGAACAATCGTGGACGCAATGACGCACGCTGATACCCTGGCATGTCGATCCATCCATCATCATCCAGATCCTGGTTTGACTGGCGGTTGTAGGTCGACAGGAGCGTGCCGCGCCAGCTACCGGTTATCGGTGTGGAGCCATAGAGTGAGATGTCTTGGGCATCACGTGTGGTGGCATTAAGTATCACCTCGCCACTCGCTTCCTCCAGCGGACGTTTAGAGATCAGATTGATCACACCACCTAATGCCTGGCCCCCATACAGGGCCGACGCTGAGCCTTTGATCACTTCAACCTGACCGAGGTCACTGGGTGGTGTCTGTAACAAACCTAGCGACGCAGCCTGGCCGCCAAACAGTGGCAGGCCATCAGCCAGAAGCTGGGTATATCGGCCACGTAGACCCTGCACCCGGATGTTGGCTGAACCGAGTGCCGGGGACGTGACCTGCACACGTAAACCGCCTGTCTCCGCCAGCAACATGGATATGTTGCCTGGGCGCATCAGGATTTTTTCCTCGATTTCCTCCTGATTCAGAACTTCTACGCGGGTGGGTTCGTCCTGAAGCCGCCGCCGCGAGCGGGTCGCCTGGACCACAATTTCTTCTATTTCATGATCGTCGTGATGATCGCCGTGGGCTTCACCTTCTGCCGTAGCATCAGAAGCAACAATCAGGGCAACGGCACAAATAGAAACAGTAAGAGGTATAGCTAAGCGCATGGTTTAATCGTCTCTTGGTTCACAATAGGTGGTTGCAAAACCGCAGTTTGGCATGTTCGAATTGATCGCGGAAAACGATCGATGGTGTTTAGCCGGCACAAGTTATGAAGAAAATACGAGGAACACAATGAGCAATACAGGTATCGCCCAGAAAATTTCGGTTTCTATTCTCCTGCTGTGTGCTGCGGCAGTCGCCGTTGCCAGCCCTTCGAATAAATGGCGCCTTGAGTTCAGCGGTGGTGCCCACTCAGCCGGTGAAATTGTAATTGAATTGACGCCCAAGGGTTTAGATCCGCTAACTGTGCACATTTCTGTTGAAGACGATACCTCGGAGAATGCAGTGGCCAAACGCGTTACGAAAGTATTGCGTGAAAAATTACCCTCGGAGGCTTTTCATGTGGAAAGAGATGATGGGGAAGATGTGTTGATCAAGAAGCGCCATGGCGCTGCGAATTTTGATGTGCAGATTGTCTTCAACAGCGTTAAACATGTCCGGATCCACGCGGAACATGAATAGTCCGGGCCTTTGTCTTGGTTAGAGTGGTTTAGCGTGCTGATGCATCGAAGTGCGCTGTTCGGGCTGCTGTGCGCACTGCTGGGCGGCTCAACGCTGTTTGGCTGCTCAACTCTGAAGCCGCTGGAAATTACTCCTGAGTACGCAACCCCTCCGGCGAATACGCCTCTTTGGCGTGCCGTAAATGGTTCGGCTGCACAATCCTGGCATGTGTTGCTGAATGATGGGCCAACAGCCCTGGACTGGCGCTTACGGGCCATTGATGGCGCCGCCGAAAGCCTTGATGTACAAACCTTTCTGTGGCACTTCGACACCGCTGGTGCCCTGATACTGGATCATGTGTTGCGAGCTGCGGACCGTGGTGTCCGCGTGCGCATTCTTGTTGATGACACCTTTCTTGTACATGAGGATGCACTGTTGCTGGCCGTTGCTGAACATCCGAATATTGAGTACCGCGTGTTTAATCCTTTTAAACGCCGCGCTGGCAACTTTGTCACCCGGCAGCTGCTTAATCTGGCTGAATTCAGGCGCCTTGATCATCGCATGCACAACAAAGCCATGGTGGTGGATAATCAGGTGGCGATTGTCGGTGGACGTAATCTGGCTGACGAATATTTTGGCCTAGACGATACTGCCAATTTCCGCGACCTTGAATTGCTGTTAGGTGGACCCGTTGTGCAGGACATCAGCATGGCCTTTGATACCTATTGGAATGACCGTTGGTCCGTGCCCATCGAATCCTTATCCGACCGGTCGGCATCGGTTGAGCAACTTACCGAAGCTCGGCGGGTGGCCGATACGTCGTTGCATCTGCATGAGGAAGCTTCAGCTGAGCTGCAGCTAGAACAATGGCTGGCATGGACTCGAAACGCCGATACCGGCGCCGCTGTGCTCTACGTCGACGAACCGCCTGAAGGTAATCCGCGAAACCGGGAGGAGGCGCCCATTCAGGTTGCCAACGAACTCACCCGGTTATTCGACGCTGCCAGCCAGGAGATTGTGATTGTCTCTGCTTATCTGATTCCCACACCCGATCTTGAAGGGGCCGTTGAGCGTGCAATCGCTCGAGGCGTGCGCGTACGTATACTGACTAACTCTTTGAGGTCTAACAATCATCTGACCGCACACAGTGCCTATCGCCGACATATTGCAACGCTGCTTGATCATGGCGCAGAGGTGCATGAAGTGCATATCAATGCAGAGGACCGTGCCAGGTACATGTTGACGCCGGTTGGTCGAAAGACACTGGCGCTGCATGCCAAGACGTTGATTATTGATGACGACCAGGTGTTTGTCGGCAGTGCCAACCTCGATCCACGCTCGTTGCGTATCAATACTGAGATGGGTGTGCTCATCAACAGTCAGGCGTTCAATCAATCTGTGCGTGAAGCGGTTGAGGGTGATTTTTCAGAGAACAACGCATGGCGACTGGCGGTGCAGGAAGATGGCCGGATCTTCTGGGTTTCAGCTGATGAAACCCTTGAACGACAGCCAGCGGGATCGTTTATGCAACGCATTGAAGACTGGTTCTTCTCACACTTGCCGATTGAGGGTGAACTTTAACCTCACGCGGTTTCCACATTGATAATATGCAGGTCGCTTTGGGGAAACGGTATCGATATGCCGGCTTTATCAAATGCCAGTTTGATTTCTTTGGTTAAACCCCAGTAGGTCTCCCAGTAGTCAGTGGTGCGCACCCAGGGTCTAACAATCAAATTAACGGATGAATCGCCAAGTTCGTGCACCCGTACAATGGGTTTCGGTTCGTCGAGGATGGCATCGAATTTTGTCAGGGTTTCTTTGATGACAGCCTCCGCCTGGTTGATGTCATCGCTGTAAGCGATCCCGAAGACGAGATCTACGCGGCGTGTCCTCTGATCAGTGTAATTGGTAATCACCGATTGCCAGATCATGTTGTTTGGCATGACAAGCTTCCGGTTATCAACGGTTAGAAACGTTGTGTTAACCAGACTCATGTTGTAGACGGTGCCTTGAACACCTGCGACATCTACAAAATCGCCGACGTCGAAGGGTCTATAGATAAGGATCATCATGCCTGACGCAAAATTGGACAATGAATCCTGTAGTGCAAAACCGATTATGAAACCCGCAATACCAAGACCAGCGAGTAGAGGGCCGAGGGAGATGCCAAGCTGTGAAAGTGCAATCAAAGCACCCAGCAGAATCACCAGGTTTTTGACCGCGTTAATAATCATCTCACGCAGCAATTGTGACAGATTGACTCGTTCAGGACTCAAGCCTCTGTGCACAAGTTTCTCGGCCAGTTTACCCAGTTGCATGAAGGCCAGCAGGACAAGCAGTGCAAGCACCATTCTGAACACGACCGTTGGCCCTTCGCCTTTCACGTGCTCTACAATGGCGTTGCTCCATTCGGATAGCAGACCGGATACAAAGCCAACATCCAACACATCTGTTGTAATTTCGCCTGTCGCAGCCAATACCTGCTGGCGATAGTGTTGGGTATCGAGCTCCATGGCGTTCATCAATGTGATGTTTTCCTGAAGAATGGAGGCGGCCAGATCAACGCGTGCCTGCACAGCAAGCAGACGCTCATTCAATTCACTGTTGGCGGGCAGAATGCTGTTTGCATGGCGCATTTGCGCGTATTCTTCGGTCGCAAGCTCGAGGAACACTGAGCGATTGGCCGCGTTATCTGTCAGTTGTTGATTCAGCGTGGTGAGAACATCGTCAACTTCGATATCAAACTGCGTTGCGATGTCGATGTAGTCAACGATGACCTTGTATATTTTATCCAGGTTTTCAACATCTTGGGACAACTCCTGATCCTGAACGACAAATTCTGCCGGGGGTGTTTCGTTGGTCGGAAAAACAAGCTGTCCTCTAATCCGTTGTACCGCATCAAATGCACGCTGAGGGAGTGGTTCGAGTAAGACCATCAGGCTTTCGACTTCTTGCGTAACGTCTACCCCCTGGTCTCGCTCGGCTGCTACTTCGCGGGCGAGATCCAGGATGGCTTCAAACCTTCGATTCTGGGTCTGGTCACGGCGTGCAATCAAAACAGTTTCTGTCACACCCTCGCTGTCTTTGATGCGTGCAGCGAGTCGCTGAATCTGAAGTTGCTCAAAAGCAATGTCTTCGTTTAGCTGGTCAAAAAGGGTGCGCCGCTCTTCGCTGAGTTCTGTTGGGTTGGATTGCGTCTGATCGGATTCCTGGGACCACGCAGCCGCAGCCGCCATGAGTGCTGTCAGCAGCAACACGAAACGAAAAGTTGTGTGCAATGAAGTATCTCCGCTCAATTGGATGGGTATACGCAGGGATAAACGGGCGTTTGGTGCGCGGTATTTATTCTGGTTCCGGGTGGTCAAGTTCAGGATCGTGGGGCATTTTACCTAATAATTTTGCCATTAGCCTAATCGCCAGGCGGTCGACAAAAGTTGGGTTGAGCTTACAGCTTCTATTGATCAGATTGGTCATTAAACGTTGTTGTGTATCACCGATCCATTCCTGTAATGATGTCATCGCGTTCAACCGTTCAATACCTGTTCAGACATGCCGGCCGGAGGCTCCGCCAGTTTTACGATCCTGCCGGGAAAACCTTTGAAGTGGGGTATACCTTGTTCATGGTCTAAAAATTCCGGATCGTCCGGGCACAAGACAGCGTCGCTGCTGATAAACGCGCCGGACAGTTTTGCGGTGCCGCGCATTTCAGGATACCACCAGCCATGTGGCACTCGGATGTGACCTTCTTTCATTGATGTTTTGATCAACACCTTGGCTGTGACTTCCCCGGTTGGCGTCTGCAACTTAACCCAATCGTGGTCAATAATGTTCTGGCGTGCGGCATCGCTAGGATGCATAAACAGTTTTGGTGAAGGCATTCGATCTCGTAAAACTTTTACCTGGCGTTGTCCGGTCTGGAAGAATGCGTCTTCGCGAACACCAGTGAACACATAGTAGGGGTACGCCTCACTTACGGCAGGTCCTTCCCTGTAATAGGGCAGGGGATCGAATCCCAATTTCTCCAGCAGACTGGATTTCAGCTCAACTTTACCCGAAGGCGTGGCGAAACCTGTTTTTCGATACTTTCGATATTCAGGTGGTTCAATGAACATATAGTGCTCGTCGGAAAATTCCGCAAAGGTTTTACCGGAAGGAGAGAGGCGATAGTCGAGCATTTCTTCTATGGTCGACCAGGGGAACAGGTCTGCGTAACCCATACGGTGAGCAAGATCATGCCAGAACTCAAAGGTGCTGGAACATTCGGGCGGCGGCTCGACAGCTTTTTGCGACAGGGTCAGACCGAGTTTCCAGTTCCAGTAGTCAGACAGATGGTTACGCTCGCTGAATACATCGCCAGGCAGTACGTAGTCTGCTAACAAGGCGGTGGGTGTCATGAAGATGTCGTGCGCAACAATCAGTTCCTGATTCATCATGCCTTTAAGGATCTGATGCTGATTGGGATAGCTCATGAGCGCATTGTTACCGAGCACAAAAAAGGCCTTCACCGGGTAGGGCTTTTCAGTTGCCATAGCCCGAAAAGTAGCGCTTGGGTTGGCCATGTAACACCCCATAACGATATCGGCGTAGCCGTAGCCGTAAACACGTTCTGTATGCTCTGTAAGCATCTCCTGGGCGCGATAGGTATATACAGGATGCAGGTCTGCACCCAGTTGTTTGCCTTTTTGCTCTGCGCTCAACATCTCATGATTGCCCAGTTTGGATTCCGGGATATAGTTTGGATCAAAGCCGCCAAATATCTCCCCGCCGGGGATGTCTATATTGCCGGTTAGAGCACGCAGAATGCTTTGTAGCCGAATGGCGGATGTTGATGAAATCTGCATGTCCGTGATCGGCGTCCAGGGAATACAGGCGCTTGAGGCGCTGGCATAGAGTCTCGCCGCTTCAGCAATCTGCTGAGCCTCCACGCCGGTAATCTCGGCGACCCGTTCAAGGGGGTATTCGTTGACGCGATTACACAAATCCTCAAATCCAGTGGTGTGCTCAGCCACAAATGTTTTGTCGTATAGCTCTTCGTTGATGATGACGTTGAGCCACCCGAGACACATCGCCGCGTCTGTGCCTGAACGCAGGCGCAAGTGCATGTCTGCAACCTCAGCCTGGTCGGAGATTCGAGGGTCGAGGACAATAACCTTGGCACCTTTTTCCCGTGCGGCGTTAATCATGTTGTAGATCGGTGTCCAACTGTGTTTTCGCGGATTGTGACCGAACAGCACGATGCACTTGGAGTTGGCGATATCAGCAAACGGAAACCACCCGTAGGTAAGCTTGTTAACCGCGGCTGTGTTGCCCGCGCAAAGGGATACGCCGCTGATATAGTTGGGCGAGCCTAAGGCGTTCATGAAGCGCCGGTCCATGCTGTGTGTGGTCTGGGTGTTCCAGCCTGAGGTGGATACGGCAAGCGATTCAGGCCCGTACTGATGCACAACTTTTTGCAGACGCTCAGCAATTTCATCCATCGCCTGTGCGTAGGAAATTTCTTCCCACTTGTCTTCACCGCGCGCGCCGACACGTTTCAGCGGCTTGGTCAGTCGATCAGCGTGATTGTGCACATGTGGAGCCGCAGTACCTTTGTAACAGACATTGCGTGCCAAGGCCGGATTGTTGTGGGCAATCATGCGCTTCAGTTTGCCGTCCTGGGTTTCGGCACGAAGCTGGCAGCCGATGTCACATATTGTGCAGACTGAGTAGGTGTGTTGCGGGCTCGATGATTCTGCCATGCCTGACTCCTGTGAAAACCTTTGTTTGCTGGGTTACAGATTGTGTTGCTGATCGTATTTTCGGGCCAGTTTCTGCAGCCACTGTAGAACTGTGACTTCGTGGGCCATGGGTTTGCCGCCACTTATGGCGCGACCTAAACCAATGCCAATCAGTGCCTCGGTAATGGTGCGGTAGATGGCTTCAAACTCTTTTAAGCGTTTGTGTTCACGTTTGCGCGCCAACACCATCTCTGGGGAGAATAATTCTGAGCCTTGAGTGATGGCTTCAGCCAGGCGCGTGCCAAACGCTTCATCGTTTCTCGACGCCAGCCACAATTCAATCACCGCTTTGAATTCGCGCTGGGTGACCCGCAGATGGCCCTCTAACGTAATCTGCTCCAGAAGACCGATATTGCCCTCAATTTTCAGGTCCAGTAGCTGATGGTAGAGTTGATCGAGTGTATCAACCAACAGATCGGCAAAGTCTGAGTAATGATGGTTTAGCGCGCCTCTGGTCATTTCTGCTCGGCGACAGACCTCCACACCGGTGGTTTTTGTATAACCCAGTTCTACAAGAGAATCGATGGTGCTTGCGATCAGGCGCGTGCGGGTGGCAGCACTTCTCGCATTGTTAAGGTTGTCAGCCTGTGGTCGTTGAGATGTCATGTTCAAAACATACAGACATGTATGCATGTTTTCCAGACAAAGTGTTGAGCTTTTTACTTCAGTGGTGGATTGTCGCCTTTTTAACCGCCTTCGATGCGTGGCATGAGAAAGACTTCTGCGTCGGGTGGAATCTTCTGGGTCCAGTCATCTCGAAAGACCACGCCGTCGATGGCGACGGCGATGCCTTTATCCAGATGTGCAGACATATCTGGATATTTTTCGATCAGTTTGCTCATGAGCTCAGCAATGGTGGCTGCCTCGATCTCGATCGAGGCAACGCCACCTACGCCTGAACGCAATGCGCCGTTCAGGCTAACCTGCACTAACCTGATTCTCCATCGCGGCCGCTTGATCAAGCGCCTCCAGTACACGTACCGGGGACATGGGCACATGATTCATGCGCACCCCAGTGGCACGCGCAATGGCGTTACCGATAGCGCCCAACGGCGGGACGATAGAGGTTTCCCCTACACCGCGGATGCCATAGGGATGGGTCGGGTTTGGAATCTCCAGGATCTGCGTATCGATAAACGGCAGGTCGGAACAGACCGGTATACGATAGTCGAGGAAGCCTGGATTCTGCAGGCGACCGTCCTTGCCGTAAACGTACTCTTCATTCAGTGCCCAACCAATACCTTGTGCGGCAGCACCCTGGAACTGGCCTTCGACATAATCCGGGTTGATGGCTTTACCTGCATCCTGCACAACGGTGTAGCGCAGGATCTTGCTTAAGCCGGTTTCTGGATCAACTTCCACGTCGCAGATGTGTGCAGCAAATCCCATGCCGGCACCGTCCGCTACAATCTCATTGTGACCCGCGATAGGACCACCGGTATTGGGTGATTTTCTGGCGATTTCTTTCAGGGATAAAGACGGCAGATTACTGTGTCCTTTACCTGTTGCTCGCGCTTCGCCTTTTTCCCAGACAATATCGTCTACGGGTACATCCAACATCTTGGCCGCACGACCTTTTAATACCTCAATAGCATCACGTGCAGCAAAGATCGCTGCCATGCCCGACGAGAATGTACCGCGGCTGCCTTCTGTGGTGTCGTTGTGTCCCAGAGACGTTGTGTCGGCAACTTGTACCTTGACGTCTTCGTAACCAATACCCAGCTCTTCTGCCGCAATCATGGCTAGCGAGGAGCGTGCACCGCCCACATCGACCGTACCCACTGCCAGGTTGACCGTGCCATCTGTGCCGATGTTCAGATCAACACAGGTTTGCCCGCCAATGTTGAACCAGAAACCACAAGCGACGCCGCGGCCCTGATTCTTCTTAAGCCTGGTTTTCATGTGCGGATGTTTCTTAACGGCCTGCAACGCAGCCTCGATACCAATCGGACCATATATGGGGCCATAAGGCGCTTGTGTACCTTCCCTGGCGACGTTCTTGAGGCGGAAATCCACTGCATCCATGCCAATGGCGTCTGCCACAAGATCCATTGTGCTTTCTACCGCGTACGCAGCCATGGGGGCTGAAGGCGCGCGGTAAGCCGCAACCTTAGGTCGGTTAACAATGACATCCCAGCCCACGGAGCGCTGGTTTTCGATGTTGTAACAGGCGAACCCGGTCATACAGGCAAGCATTGCCCAAGGTCCCGGGAAGGCGCCGCCCTGATAACGTAGCTCAAGGGTTGCTGCGGTAATGACACCTTTGCGGGTGGCACCAATTTTGACATCAACAGACGTTGAGGCGGTTGGACCGGTGGCGCGAAACACCTCGTCCCGGGTCATCACCAGCTTAACCGGTCGATTGGCTTTGCGAGAAAGCGCCAGTGCCAGAGGTTCTGTCCAGACGTGGGTTTTACCGCCAAATCCGCCGCCAATCTCTGATGAAGTCACTTTGAGTTTCGCGATATCCAGGCCCAACAAAGCAGCGCATACAGTACGGTAGGCAAAAGGTCCCTGGGTGGTTACCCAAAGCTCAGCTGTACCGTCTGGATTTACTGAAGCCAGGCACGCATGGGGTTCGATGTAACCCTGGTGCGTCTGCTCGGTTTTGTACGACTTTTCAATGACCACGTCAGCTGCTGCAAAACCTGCGTCCACATCACCGTGACCCATTTGGGTGCGGTTAGCGATATTCGACGGTTTGGTAGGTTTTTCTTCCATGCCGCCCGTAAAACACCAGTCGTGAATCACCGGCGCGCTTGGCTTCATGGCCTCGTCTACGTCGGTGACGTGAGGCAGCTTCTGATAACTCACTTTGATGAGTTTTAATGCTTTACGTGCCGTTTGCTGATCCACTGCTGCAACGGCTGCCACGGCGTGGCCGTCGTACAGCGCGCGTCCGCGCGCCATGCAGTTCTCCAGGATATGCGCATTGCCGGCATTGCCTCCGGTCAGATCAGGCAGATCGTCACAGGTGATGACGGCTTTAACGCCGGGCAGCTTTTCTGCTTTGGATATATCTATTTTTTTGATTTTGGCATGGGCATGCGGCGAGCGCAGTACTAACCCAACCAATTGGCCTGGAGCACTGGCATCTGCGCCGTAACGTGCCTTGCCGGTAACTTTGTCAATGCCATCCGGGCGCAAGAAACGGTTACCAACAACTTCGAACTTCTGTCCTGTATAGCTATTATCGTGAGCCATAATTTATTCCTTTTTCCGCGAGGTATTAGCGTTTCTTAGATTTGCGCAGGTCTTTTGCGGTTTCCTGCACGGCCCGGACAATTTTGTCGTAGCCGGTGCACCGACAAAGATTGCCAGCCAGCGCGTAACGGATTTCTGTTTCCGTTGGTTTCGGGTTGTTGTCCAGCAACGCTTTGGCCGCTACCAAAAAGCCTGGTGTGCAAATGCCACACTGCAATGCGGCGTGTTCAATGAATTTTTCCTGCAATGGATGCAGCTTGCCATTTTCAGTGAGTCCTTCGACGGTGCCGATCTCGCGACCGTTGGCTTCCACGCCCAGGACCAGGCAGGAACAGACCAGCTGACCGTCCAGAGTCACACTGCACGCACCGCAATCGCCGGTACCACAACCTTCTTTAACGCCGGTCAGGCCAACACGGTCGCGCAATGAATCCATCAATACTTCATCGGTAGGGCAGGCAAATTCCACCACGTCACCGTTTACTTTGGTCGATACTAAAACTGCGTCGCTCATGCGGCACCTCCTGCTCGTTTGTAGGCTATTTTGGCGGCGCGTTTGGCCAGGACTCCGGCAACGCGTGTGCGATAGGCGGCAGTACCGCGCTTGTCGTCAATGGGGTTACACGCTTTGCTGCAGGCAGCGGCGAGTTTGTCCAGCGCTGCGTCGTCCAGTTTGGAACCCACCAAAGCTCTGGCAGCAGCGGGGACCAATATGGCGGTAGGTGCAACTGCACCCAGGCAGACCCGCGCTTTTTTAACAACGCCGCGTTCCAGCGTCAGGCTGATGCCGACACCCACTACGGCGATGTCCATTTCTGTACGTGGCGTAAAACGCAGGTAGGCATCGCCGGTGCGTTTGGCGGGTTTGGGCAGCGTGATGGCTTCTATCACTTCTCCTTTCTTAAGGGATGTTTTGCCCGGACCGACAACAATTTTTTCAACTGGTACCGTGCGGCGTTTACCTTTGCCGACCACAACAGCTTTAGCGCCGGCAGCAATCATGGCGGGTACGCTGTCCGCAGCAGGAGATGCGTTACACAAGTTGCCCACCATGGTGCAGCGACCCTGGATCTGGTCTGAACCAATCAGATTGGTTGCTTCAACCACACCTGGCCATGCTTTGTTGATGGCTTTATTTGCACCCAGTTGTGCGCCCGATACGCCGGCGCCGATGCGGAAGCCACTTTGCGTGGTTTTTATTGTATTCATATCTGGAATGCGTTTGATGTCGACTACTAACGCCGGCTCTGAAAGCCCAGTTTTCATCCGCACCAACAAGTCGGTGCCGCCAGCTAACACAAAGGCAGGGCCTTTTTCTTTTGCCAGCAGCGCGACAGCTTCTTTTGTCGTCGCCGGTGATTCGTATCTCATGTGATCGTCCTGTTTATGTTGTCAATTCAAGGAGAATGTAACGCACAGCATTTTGGCGTATAGATATGACCTTCCGTTCGATGCTTTCCCCTCGACAGTGAAGATACCAAGAGCGGCGGAGCCCAACAACGGTTTAGGCACCACTTAATTGCGGATTGCTGACCATTTCCAGGGTTTAAGCGGGTGCAGACCGAAAAGAGGGCGTTATGTCATTATCCGGGGCAGTTTGGTGCCGGTATTTTCGTCGAAGCACTGCAGTCGTATTTCTTTGGTAATTCTGATGGAGAAGGTCATGACAGATACGCAGACAAAATCCCAGTGGCTTGCTGCACGCCTGGAACTGCTGGAAATGGAGAAGGCGTATGCCCGGCTGGGTGACGAGTTATCGGCGCAACGTCGCGCAATGCCTAAATTAAAGGTGGCGCAGAACTATGTCTTTTATGCGCCCAACGGCGAGGTTTCGTTGTCAGAGCTGTTTGCGCAGCGCAGCCAGCTTATCGTGCAGCATTTCAAGTTTGGTGCCGACTGGGAGGAGGGCTGTCCTTCCTGTTCTTTCTGGGCGGATGGGTATAATCCGATGATTGTGCACCTGAATCAGCGTGATGTGAGCTTTGCTGTGGTTTCGACCGCGCCTGTTGCGCAACTTGAAGCTTATAAAAAACGTATGGGGTGGGATTTCCCCTGGTTTTCCTCAGCAAACAGCAGTTTCAATGCTGATTTTGAAGTGAGTCCAACCGAAGAGCAGCTGGCTGCAGATCAAATGCGGTACAACTATCAGGGCAGTCCCATCCGCGGTAATGAATCCCACGGTGTTAGTGTTTTCGAGCGCGACTCCGACGGTGTGATTTATCATACCTATTCAACCTATGCGCGCGGTCTTGATCGTATGAATGCAGCGTATGGTTATCTTGATCTGTGTCCTAAAGGGCGACAGGAAGAAGATCTACCCTATGGGTTAGCCTGGGTGAAAAGGCATGATGAGTACTGAATAAATGGACCGACTTGACCTGCTGGTACGTCACAGGGGTTGTGCGTAATTGACTCAGCAAAAATTGGCAGAGCTCGTGGTTATGTTTGCCACGGCCATATTTTTGTACCTCGACAAGTTGCTCTGCTTCGTGGAAAAATCATTTTCCTTGCCAACATGGTCTCTTGAGTTGGCGGTTTTAATACTGTTTGGGAAGATCCTTTTTCGTGTTTAGTTTTTTTGACACTATTGGTTGGCACCCCTCAATAGGTGATCCTAGTTTAGTCGGTTGGTTCACTGTGTTTGCGTACTTTTATACCGCTTTTAAATGTTGGACGGTTGTGCAAAACGCCGGTCCTCGGTTTGGACGCACAACCTATTACCGCGAACGCTCGCTTTGGGTGTGTGCTTGTGTTCTTTTGCTGGTTTTAGGCATAAACAAGCAACTGGATCTGCAGTCTTTTTTTACAGCTGCAGCTAGATATATCTCGCTTGAGCAGGGCTGGTATGGTCAGCGTAGAGCGTTGCAGGTGTATTTCATCTGGGCAATTGCCATAGCGGGTATTTCGGTAGCGATGGCGTTGGCAGTATTTTTCCGCTCAGTCATTGCCCGCCATTGGTTGGTGGTTCTTGGGCTTTGCTGGTTGTTCGCATTTGTTTTTATACGTGCATCATCCTTTCACAACATGGACTGGCTAATCGGCCAGGCTTGGCTCGGTATCTATGCCAATTGGGTATTGGAGTTAGGCGGTATCTTTATGGTCTGGTGGAATGCCAGAACGTTGCTGGGTTCGGGAAGACGCCGACACGGGACTGCCTGAGATGGATTAGTTGGCGGGTAAGAACCCCAATGGCGATCTGCGAGTATTTATTCCGAATTCAACCCTTGCCCCTAAAAATCTAAGACTTCATTTAAATAAAGCCCTGGGAGAGATCAATGGATAAAGACGTCGCTTTACACTTGGAAACACTGGAAGGCCATGTGGCCAGACTGGAAGGTATCATTCATGTCATGCTGCTGGAGCTGGAGGCGGGCACTATCCAGACTTCAGCAGCTGAGATACGCGCTGCGCTGCCGAAACTGGATGATGACTAGCAAAAACTTCGACGTAGGGGTGACGATGTGCTGAGGATGACTTTGATGGCACTCATTGTTATGCAGAGTGTTGTCATGGAGATAAATATCCATCGGAGCAAGTCATTCGGGGGGAGGATCTATGGACACAAGAATTGATCACTTTATGTATGCCACGGCCTCACTGGATGAGGGTATGGCATGGGCGCAGGATGTGTTTGGTATACAACCGGCCTATGCAGGCGAACACCTGGGGTTAGGGACACGAAACGCGCTATTGTCCCTGGGTTCTGCGTATCTGGAAATCATCGCGCCGGATCCTGCGCAGTCCCTTGAAGGTACCCTTGGGGAACAATTTGCCGGCCTGTCGAGTGGTGGGCTTGTGACCTGGGCTGCCGAAGGTGATCTAGCCAAGGTGCAGGCTGCCTTGTTGTCCTGCGGTATCCGATCGGCGGGCCCTAAACAAACTCGGCGCAAGACACCAGACGGAGAACTGTTGGAGTGGGCGTTGCTTTTCCCCATCGGTGCAACCCAGGGTTCGCGTATGCCCTTTTTTATTGACTGGCAGCGCTGTGTTAATCCTCGAGAAATAAGTCCGATGGCTGGGACGTTTCAATCATTGTCTATCACAACTCCCCACGCAGACGATCTGCGGCAGGTAATGGCAGCGATTGGCCTGGAGGTGCCGATTTCGGAAGGTGAGCCGGGGCTTGAAGTGTTGATTGCCGCGCGTGGTGGTGTGGTGCAACTTACAAGTACAGAGGAAACCAGAAGCGTGTCGCTCATCTAGCGGTGCTTGCGTCGATTGTGAAGACGATTGTTATCGGTGTATTGTTTCAACTGTCTTATTTCATCGAATACTTAATCGGAGCCCACTATGGCTGAATATATCCCCCCGACACTGGACTGGGTCCGCAAGCAGGTTGAGCTTTACGAAAGCAGTGGCGGCACCGAAGGCACGACACTTCTAGATACCGGAATGCCGTGCATCATAGTGACGCATAAAGGCAACAAAACCGGTGGCATTCGGAAGATACCGTTGATGCGTGTTGAGGTTGATGGCAACTATGTCCTGATAGGGTCGATGGGCGGTCAACCGAAGAACCCTTCCTGGGTTTATAATTTGCGCGCGCACCCTGATGTGGAAATACGCGATAAAACTGTAGTCACCCCCATGCGGGTGCGTGAGGTCTCTGATGAAGCAGAGCGGGCACGTTTGTGGCAGGCGAGTGCGGAAGCTTATCCCCCCTATGATGATTACCAGGCAAAGACCACGCGTAAAATTCCTGTGTTCCTGGCAGAACCCATCGACTGAAGAAATTCTGCAGCACATCGCGGACTTGGAATCATTAGTCCAGGCGGATAGCGTTCCGCCTGGGACACTACCTGGATTTTATTCCGCGGCTTTCTCGCCTTGTTTAAAAGTGGTGTAGAGATAGACAGGAATGTCTAAATCACCCAGGTGCCGCTCGATCAAAGGCAGTACATCACCAGCCCAATCAAGACCGCCGACACCCGTGGCAAGTTTCGGCAGTGCAATGCTTGTAAACTTTTCCTGCTCAACCAGTTTCCGCAGTGCGCGTAATGCCGAGTTGACGTGCGCGGTGGTCGCTTTACCCGGATGACCCTGCTTGCCGGCGGCGGGTTCCTGGGTTAACAGGTTGACGATACGTTTGCCATCTACGCCACCCCATGTCCAAAGTTCCCCCGGACCGGGATTCGATATTTTGCAATAGTGGCGAAAGTCTTTGCTCATCGAGGGATAGAGCTCGCGCAGACTTAACGCCAGACCCTGGTTGAAATGATCCTCCGGCGCAACACCTTGGACAATGGTTTGGGCGCTGCTCAATGTGATGTCACCAGAAACTTCTTTTAGCATGGTCACTCCTTATTGGTAATTCGGATATCGTCTCGGTTTACCGCGCGGGTGGCTATCGGTAATTCCCGAGGGCCTTATGCATACCTATTTACGGCGGCACCTGGGCTAAAATTGGGCAGTCGGTATTCAACCTGAAAAGACAGGGAAATTTTTATGATTGTGGTGAACGGCATTATCAGGACCAGCGCAGAAGCTATTGCAGCCACGGCTGCGGCGCTGAGCAAAATGGAGCAGGCCAGTCAGGCTGAAGAGGGGTGTTTCGACTATACCTTCAGCATTGAGGTCAGCGATCCGAACGTCATTCGGCTTACTGAGCGCTGGGCGTCAATGGAAGACCTGAAAAAGCACTTTGCAGAGCCGCATATGGCTGAGTTTCGAGCGGCGATGGCGGCCCATCCGCCATCAAGTGTCGAAGTGAAATTCTATGCAGCGCAAGAGATCGACCGACCCGTCTGACAATGGAGCCCAAATGTCCGGTGCTGGTGATAGCGCTATGCAGATTCTGTATAGCGTTTGATGATCTGTTTACCCAGCGCCATCATGTGCACCTGATCCGGTCCGTCTGCCTGGCGGCACCAGCGCGCATAGTTGTAAGCTTCGGCCATGGGGTAGTCGGCGGTTAAACCGCCAGCGCCATGAATCTGCATACACCGATCAATGACGGTTTGTGCCATCAGCGGGACGGTTATCTTCGACGCAGCAATCAGATCCCTGGCATCTTTGGCTCCAACTTCGTCCATTCGGCGAGCTGTTTTTATTGTCAGTAAACGGGCTTGCTCAATTTCACTGAACGACTTTGCGATGTCCTCCAGCACAGACTGATGCTCAGACAGTTTTCGGCCAAAGGTTTCACGGCTCACCGCACGCCGGCAGGCATATTCAACCGCCCGCTGAGCGCTGCCGATCAAGCGCATGCAGTGATGTATTCGGCCGGGACCTAAGCGCCCCTGGGCGATTTCAAAACCCCGTCCCTCACCAAGCAGAATATTATCGGCAGGGACGCGCACATCGTCGAAGTGCACTTCAGCATGCCCCAACGGGGCATCATCGTAACCCAACGTTGTCAGGGGTCTGACAATCGTGACCCCTGGCGTATCTTTCGGTACCAGCACCTGGCTCTGCTGTTTGTGACGGTTCGAGTTGTCCGGGTCAGACTTGCCCATGACGATCAGTATTCTGGTGCGTTCGTAAGGCGCGTTGGTGATGAACCATTTCTTGCCATTGATGACGTACTCATCACCCTGTTTTTCGATGCGTGTTTGTACGTTTGTTGCATCGCTTGATGCCACATCGGGTTCTGTCATTGCGTAGGACGAACGAATTTCTCCAGCAAGCAACGGTTCCAACCACTGTTCTTTCTGGGCGTCGGTGGCGTACTTCAGGAAGACTTCCATGTTACCGGTGTCCGGAGCATTGCAGTTGAACGCTTCTGGCGCCCATAGTACCCGGCCCATTATTTCGGCAAGGCCTGCGTAGTCTTCGTTGCTCAGGCCACCAAATTCTGCAGGTAGCCACAGATTCCACAGGCCTTCTGCTTTGGCTTTTGTTTTGAGTTCTTCCATCAATGGCACTGTGGAAAAGCGATCTGCCATTGCGTTCAGCTGTTTGTGATAGAGGTCTTCATTGGGATAGATGTGTTCGTCCATGAACTGTGTCAAACGTTCCTGGAGTATCTGTATGTCTGAAGGGGCGGTGCTCATGTAGGTCCTGGTGTGGTGATAATTTTGCATCGGGTAGAATAGTTCAAAAAGCAGCCGGTTTTAATCGATGCTCGCGATGTTAGTGCAAATAGTTTGATCCGTGCCTTCTGGTTTGCTGTAGGCGCCACTGCCTTAGCCCTCGGGTTGCTGGGTATTGTATTGCCCCTGCTGCCGACAACACCTTTTGTGCTGCTGGCTGCATTTGCTTTCGCGCGTTCTTCAACCCGGTTCCATGATTGGTTACTTGAACATCACGTGTTTGGTCAGCTCATTGAGAACTGGCGTCGTGATGGCTCCATTGATGGTCGCGCCAAATTTGTTGCAGCGCTCTCCATGGTGGCGGTGCTTGTTCTGTCTATCGTGCTGCGTGTACCGCCTCTGATTCTGGGCCTGCAGGCGATTGTACTTATTGCAGTAGCGGTGTTTGTACTTTCCCGCCCGTCGCCACCTGACATATAGTGTTGGAACGCCCATCATGCAGTGGCTCAGACGGAAAAAATCTCATGTTTGACTTGCCTCCAAGAGCGCTTGAAATCCGCGATCAGGTAGAAACTTTTTTTAACACCAGGGTGCTGCCTAATAATCGTCTGTGGCGAGAGCAGATGGCGGCAGGGCAGCCGGTGCCGGAAATCGAGCGTGAGTTGCGCGAAGAAGCACGTGATCTGGGTTTATGGAATATGGCCTTGCCTCGGCTTACGGATGAAGAGCCTGGCACGCGATTGAGCAATCTGGAGTTCACCGGCGTAGCTGAAGTGCTGGGGCGGCTGGAGTGGGGTTCGCGGGTGTTCAACTGTCACGCCCCCGATGTACCTAATATGGAGTTGCTGCAGTTGTTTGCAACGCCCCAGCAACGCAAACGGTGGCTGCAACCTTTGCTGGACGGCACCTCCGGCTCTGCTTTTGCTATGACGGAGCCTGATGTTGCGTCGTCGGACCCAGCAAATTTAAAGACATCGATAGCACGCGAAGGTGACGACTACGTCATCAACGGGCGTAAGTGGTTTGCCAGCAATGCATCCCACGCACACTGCGAATTTCTTATTGTCGTCGGGGTGACGGACCCTGACGCGCCAAAATCCAAGCGTCAGTCAATGATTATCGTGCCACGCCACTCGCAGGGATTGTCGTTCAAGCGTGATCTGCCGGTGTTTGATCATATCTCGCCAACCAACACCCATCCTGAATTCAGTATGGAGAACGTGCGCGTACCGGCGGAGAACCTGCTGGGGGAAGAGGGTGCTGGATTTGCCATGGGACAGGCCCGGCTGGGTCCCGCCCGCCTGCATCATTGCATGCGCGCAATTGGTGAATGTGAGGTGTTGATCAGTCTGATGGTGAAGCGATCTACCGAGCGCAGCACGTTTGGCAAACGGATTGATGAATATGGTGGTACCCAGGCGGCCATCAGCCTGTCGAGAATCGAGCTGGATCAATGCCGTCTGCTGGTGCAACAAGCTGCGCACCTATTGGATGTTGTTGGTAACAAAGTGGCGCGTAAACAGATATCAATGATTAAAGTCGCGGTGTCCCGGGTCTATCAGGCCATAGCGGATCGGGCTATTCAGATCTACGGCGCCCGCGGCGTAACCAACGATACGCCTGCCGCCCGTGCCTTCGGTAAAGCTCGCGCGTTCAGGATTTACGACGGACCTGATGAAGTGCATCTGCAAACCATCGCGCGCCTGGAGACGCAGGAGCAGACGCTGGAGGGCATGGAGTATTACCTGGGCGACGAATAGGATTCTAGTCGTCTGCAAGCCCAAAACGCTGGCGTAGAAAACGCGCAACGGAATCCTCATCATGGTGTCCGATTACGGCGGTGGCCGCTTTTTTCACAACATCTTTGGCGTTGCTGGGCGCGTAAGCTTCGTCCGCCACGGCAAACATGCTTAAGTCGTTATCACTGTCACCAAAACATAACACCCTTGATACGCCTAACTCCTGTTTCAAGACATTTACCGCATTACCTTTGCTGGCATCAATGTGGTGAATGTCGATCCACTTAAGCTGAGCGCCTTCAAGTGCTGTGCCCGCAAAGGCAATCAGGCCGGGTTCATCAGCAATCATGGCATCAATGGTGTCGACGGCCTGTGGTAAACCCAGGGCGCTGATATTGGTGATTTCAGCATCGCAGGGCATTTCTGCGGCGGGGTAGACCCCAACCCCATCTCTGCTGCGGAAATCTGCAGCGAGCTGATGTTCAACTTCAGTCTGCAGAGGCGGGTGGTAGACGCCGTGCACATTGCCGGGCGCGACGGTGAACATAAAGGGTGTCAGACCCTGGGATATGATTGCCGCCAGCACGTGCTCGATCTCGCTGAGCGTCAGATAATTGTGGTGGCTGTACAGAGCCTGTTCCGGATTCCAGATCACCACGCCATTTTTGTAAGCCTGGGGTAGCTTGAAAGGATGGTTGGACAGCACGTCCCGGGACGAATGTAAGGTGCGCCCGGTGGCGACGGTGAATAAAATACCTTTTTCCGCCAGCAACGACAGAGTTTTGCGTGTGTATGGGGATATTTGCGAGGAGGCGTTCAGCAATGTGCCATCCAGGTCAAAAACGATAAGATCCATGGCAGTCCTTCAGATGATGCTATACGTACTAACAGGGAGGCTGCACAATAACAACAATGGACTCATCCAACTGCAGTAATTGCGGCACACCTCGATCTGACAACTTCTGTCCTCACTGCGGGCAGAACCGCCGTGATTATCAGCGCTCACTGCCACCCATGTTGTGGGAACTGCTGCGCGAGACCTTTGATGTGGATTCGCGGATTCTGAATACGTTTCGTTTGCTGTTGATCCAGCCCGGGCAGCTTGCGGTTGAGTTCTCGCGCAATCGAAGAGCCAGCTATATCAGTCCGATCCGACTGTACTTGTTTATCAGTTTAGGCTTCTTCTTCCTGCTGTCCTCTACCTCCGATCTAGATATGGACTTTCAGGTCGGCGATGACCCCGTCGCTGTGACGTCTGTGGCTGACAGTGTTGCAGTTGACCTTTTTAACATGCTGGACGAAGAGCGCACAGACAAGGTGCACCGCATGCTGGCGGGGGAAGAGTCGGGGGTGCAGCAACAGGCTATTATGAGTCTCGCTAAAGCTACAGCAGAACAGAGCGAGCCTGTTTCGGAAATCCAGCGTTTTATGCTCAGTCGCATAATCGACGTTATTTATCAGCCGCGCGAAGCGCTCAGCGCCATGATAGATAATCTGCCCATAGCCATGTTTTTCCTGCTACCCGTGTTTGCACTCATTCTGCAACTGCTCTACATCGGGTCACACAAGTACTATGTTGAGCACCTGGTGTTCGCCACGCACCTGCACACCTTTGCCTTCCTCGTTTACGCGCTGATGCTGGTTCTGCCGGATTCAGAAGGTGACACCATCATCGCCACAGTTTCAGGCTACGCCGGTGCGCTGTTGTGGTTCGTGTTGCTCATCTACCACTTCAAAGCACTGCGGCGCTATTACAGCGGCAGTTTCAGGCGCACCTGCGCAAAGTATTTTGTGCAGATGGCCGTCTACTTTCTGTTGTTGATTCCAACCAGTACGATCGCCGTTATGCTGTTGACGCTGGTAACGGTTTAGTCTTCTCCGCCAATTGTCGCAGCTGCGCTTCTGGCTGCTTTTTCTTCGTCTGTTGCAGCTCTGTAACTCATGGTGCCAAACAGCATCTCATCCCAGGACTGTTGTCCCCAGGGAACTTCCCTGGTGGGATCAGGGTTGGCTGGATTCCGCGCAGAATTATCCCACCAGGTTCGATGCACAACTCTGGTACCCGCAGGAATAAACTTGGGTTCTTTCAGATCGTAGCTTGTCTGCCAGTTGAAATCGTAGTGCGGTACCGAGATCAGTTTCTCAACGCGTCCATCGGGATAATGCGCCACAAATTCTGATGCTTTGCCGCGAAAGTGAGCGTGCGGCAACATGCTGTACAGAATGACATCCTCAGGAATAACTCTTTCTGACGTTTCTGAATGATTGTCCGCGCCGGCAGGAATGCGAATGCGTGGATTGATGAACACAGTGCCTTGCATCACGTACTCAGGTGGCGCCTCGTGCAGATAGATGCCAAGCCGTGAGGCATCGGTTGTCGGCTTACCTGTCGGGGTGTAATGCATCTGAAATTCGATGGTTGAACCTGCGGGGAACAGTGTGCCGGTGCCGTCAGGGTAGTCACGTGCTACAGCACCAGGTACATAGCCACCCAGGCTGCCACCGCCACGCCGACTCAGCCGCCCAGCGCGGGGACCCTGAGTTTCCACTTCTCCGAACCGCGTGATCACATGGTGTAACACACTTCGATCCCCAGGTATCAGTTCCGTGGCGCGAACCCAGACATCTTCGTTGAGTGGGTTTTCAACCATTTTGTATTTGTAGTCGACAACGCCGGTAGCGGGTACTTCTTCAGCGGGAATATCAATAATGAGATCGGGTTCACCGAGTGCCCAGGTTGGATAGTTGTGATCCATTTCCACCAGCGGATCTGTACCGTAGCCCCGTGGTGCGCCGGCTTCAATCCAGTGGACCAGCGTTTGTATTTCTTCAGTTGACAGAGAACGGTCGTTAGCAAATTCACCATAGTGTGGATCAGCGTGCCACGGTGGCATACGTTGTGTACGTACCACTTCGCGGATCATCAGAGAGAAGCCTCGAACCATGTTGTAATCTGTCATTGCCCAGGGGCCAATGCCGCCTTCGCGATGACAGGCCACACAGTTGTCCTGCAGGATCGGTGCAATGGTGTCGCTGTAAGAGATTTTTGCGTGTGCCTCAGTGCGCGCCATTTCAGGGAATTCGACGTCACAACCTTTAGCTTTGGTCTGCTGGGTGGTGACGGGTTTGCCATCTACCAGTTGACCCAGCGCATCTGCAGCGCCTGCGGCATGGCCTCTGTAAGCCAGTGTCCAGTTGGCGGGGTTCAGCACCAGCACTTCTCCGGCGGTTTCAAGCCGCATGGACTCGCCGATAATTTGTGTTGTATCCATAAGCACAGGTGAGGTGAGTGAGACCTTCTGTGCGTGTGACCTGATTGAGTTGCGTGGGTCGAGGGAATTAATCAGCTTGAACTCCACGCCGGCGTCGGCATAATTCGCCTGTAACGCATTGAACTGCGCCAGTTCGCTTTCTGCGGGCGCGCAGCTTGCGCTATGTGTCATCAGGACTAATGCAGGTGCATCAGCAAAGTAATACAGTTCCTGGGAACCGCCTTGATGGTCAAGGAGGCGGAAGTTTTCGACTTTGTTGTTCGGGCTCAGTGCCAAAGCGGCACTTGCGCTCAGTAGAATTGTGATGCGCAGCAGGATTTGAAACGCGGCCATCTTTTTCTCCCCTGGATGGTTTGTTCAACGGCCAGCATACGCTGGTCGTTGAATCAGGTCGAGATGGAAAAATGATCAGCCGCAGAGGCGTGCGGATTAGCCCTGTTCAGGTATCCGAATCTTCTGCCCCGGATAGATTTTGTCTGGGTCTTCAATCACTTCGCGATTGGCCTCGAAAATCTCAGGGTATTTCATGCCGTTACCGTAGAATTCTTTGGCGATGCCATAAAGTGTATCGCCGGATTTGATGACGTAGAACTGTACGGGTGGCGGAGGTGGCTCTGCAGGTGGTGGAGGCGGGACGCTAATCCCGTCTGCCTGAACTTTTTCCACACCTTTGACGTTACCGGCCATCAGTACGGCTTTTTCTTTTGCGGGCTGATTAACGGCGGCGCCTGCCATCGTGACCACCCCATCGTCAAACTCGACGGTAAGAGGATCGACACCAGGATTGTTGCTGTTGATGTGGGTAAGAATACTCTCTGCCGCGTCAGCATCGGATTGAAACAGTTTTTTGCCCATGTCTTTGGCAAAATCGAACAGTGAATCTAGCATTTGGGTCTCCCAAGCTTGTTGTTAGTTTTTTGTTGAGTGTGGGTTGTTATTTCAAGAACTTGCCGGCCATACCCAGCAGGTCATCCACCATGGAGTTATTGTCGCCACCGCCGAGGAATGCGCCCAGCACGCCACCCAGGTCGCTACCACTTTCTGGTGCTTGAGATTGTTTCTGGCTTAATGCCCCCATCGCCATGGTCGCCAGCATGGGCAGCATTTGCTTGATCAAACTGTCGCTGACGCCGGTTTGCTCAGCAGCGCGACTGGCCACCTGTCGGCTGACGTCTTTGTTGCCGAGAATATGGCCGAGAATTTTGTTGCCTTCCGCAACGCCGGAGTCATCCACAGCCAGTGCCGGGTCCTCGATGTAACGTTGATGGTTACCTTTCTGCAGCGCCCCTAAAAGCGAATCGAGACCGCCTGACGCCTGGGTATTGTTGGCAATTCCTTTGCCCAGGGCCGGGGCAATCGCGCCCATAACGCCTTCAACAGCAGATTTGTCGAGCCCCAGCTTTTGCGCAATCTGATCGATCGATGCGCCACCCTGGGCGTTCATGATGGTTTTTAACAGATCCATAAATCAATCCTCCAGAATGAAGGTCACTTTCAAGGTGACACGGTACTGGGCAACTTTGCCGTTTTTAACAACCACTTGCTGGTCTTTGACCCAGGCGGAAGTGACATTTTTAAGTGTTTTTGAGGCTCTTTTTACACCTTTTTCAATGGCATGTTCGAAACTCTGTTTTGATCCGGTGATCACTTCAGTGACGCGTGCAACAGACATATTGTTCCCCTTCAGGATGTGACTTTTTAACAGTGTATCCCAAGGGCATCTACAACGACTTCTCCAAATTGCAAAATTATTGTCTAATCTCCAAGACGCCCTCAAATGCTGTTTTTCGCCGGCCCTGTTATGCTCGGCGGCTGAGTACAACCGGCGGGGAGAAAAACGATGGCAAAGGTGTTTGTGAATATATGGGCAGGGCTGGTTGTTTGCCTGATAGCCGCATGTGGTGCTGAGCCCCCCTCTGATGAAGTGCGCAAGGCGATACCAATTGTCGCCTCACAAGGCGAAGCAGGGGTGTCGGAAGTGATCGGCCAGACCGCCTATGGGGCGGTTCGAGGTGTGCGTGACAACCGTATTCTGACTTTTAAAGGGGTTCGTTACGGCGCCGACACATCTACCACCCGATTTGCCGCGCCTGCACAACCTGCGCCCTGGGCGGACATCCAGTCTGCAACTGCTTTTGGAGCAACCTGCCCACAAACACCAACCGGAAATCCCGGTGGTTTGTTCACGTCATGGGCAACCGTGCCCACGCCGCCAATGAGTGAAGACTGCCTGTTTCTGAATGTCTGGACACCTGCTTTAGCTGACGGCGGCAAGCGGCCGGTCATGGTCTGGTTCCATGGCGGTGGATTCTCTTCAGGCAGCGGTTCGTCGCGGGCGTATGAAGGTACACGCCTGGCCCAGCGTGGAGATGTTGTGGTGGTGACCGTCAACCACCGGCTCAATGTTCTGGGTTATCTGGCACTTGGGCACTATGGCGAAGGCTATGAAGATTCGGCTGTTGCCGGTGTGCTTGATATGGTGCTGGCCCTAGAGTGGGTGCGGGACAATATCGCAGCTTTTGGCGGCGATCCCGACACGGTGATGATTTTTGGGGAATCCGGCGGTGGTGCAAAAGTATCTACCTTAATGGCAACACCAGCGGCGCAGGGTCTGTTCCACCGCGCAGTGGTGCAGTCCGGCGTCATGCTTCGTTTTCCCGAGCAGGGTGTTGCCCGGGCCGCTGCAGATAAGGTGGTGGCGAATCTTGGGCTGAATGCAGACACGCTGGCGCAGATTAAGACGCTACCCGAAGATGTCATTCGCGCAGCTTTCGAAGGCACTGGCGCGGCAACCGCACCTTCTATCGACGGACGCACGTTAACCCGCCACCCGTTTGAACCTGACGCGGCGCCCTGGGGTCGAGATGTACCGATGATGCTGGGGACAAACCGCACGGAAAATTCGCTATTTGTCGGTGGCGCTAACCCTGCGATTTTCGACCTGACGTGGGCACAGTTGCCTGATGTTCTGCAGCGAAGCTATCCCGACAAAGAAGTTGAAGCCATCATTGCCGGATATCGGGCGCTGCAACCGGAATCCACTGCGGTAGATATCTACTTTGAGGCAACCACAGATTCGCGCTGGCTAGCTGGTCACGTGCAGCAGGCAGAGCGTAAGGTGCGCCAGGGTGGCGCGCCCACCTATCTTTATCTGTTTAATTGGAATACGCCTGTCGATGGAGGAAAGTGGCGCTCGCCCCATGCACTGGAAATCGGCTTTGTTTTTGACAATGTTGCAAACTCTGAAAGTATGTCCGGGGTAGGGCCAGACCAGCAGCGAGTTGCAGACATTATGGCTGATACCTGGATTGCCTTTGCGCGCACCGGCAAGCCGGACAATCCAGCGATACCCGCCTGGCCGGCATACAACCTCGAGACCCGTCCAATGATGGTGTTGGATTTAACCCCTGAGCTGGTCAATGATGCAAGAGCGGCTCAGCGTGCTCTGTTTGATGATAGTGCCGCTTATGGTAATCGCTACCAGCCGGGTGAGGAGTGAACCCATGCAAAACTGGCTGAAGTACCTGGTGGTATCGCTGACAATACTGGGGGTTCTACTGGGGGCGTACCTCATTTATTCGGTTCAGGTGGTCAACCCCCGTGTGGTTGCAGAATTGGTTGCAGAGCCAGATGGGCCGCGCGCCGCCAGAGTGATGTTGTTGACCATACCGAATGAACGCGTGATACCTGTAAATTATCTGCGCGAGGGTTCACTGGTCTTTGTCGGTGCAGATGGCCCATGGTGGAGAGATCTTTTACCTGGCGATGTGCCGGTGCAGATGTTCATTCGTGGTGATGATCTCCACGGCGTAGCCAACGTGGTGGACGATGATCCGGACTATACAAAAAAGATTTTTGCTCGGCTGCGCCCGGATGTACCTGATTGGCTGCCTTCCTGGGCTAATGCAAAGCTGGTGGTGATAACCCTTTCGCCCAGTGATTCTTGATGGGCAGTTTGCGTGTTCTGATTGCTGGTGGGGGTATTGGTGGATTAACCGCGGCACTCGCGCTTGCCAACAACGGCTGCGAGGTCACTGTGTTAGAACAGGCGCCTGAGTTTGCTGAAGTGGGCGCGGGTATTCAGCTGTCGCCAAACGCCTCCAGGGTGTTGCATGCATTAGGGTTAGAGGAGCCATTGCGCGCGGTTGCTTTTTTGCCCGAGGGTACGCAGTTCAGACACTGGCGTCGTGGCAATGTGATCAGTGAGAGCAGCCTTGATGAACAGGTGTTAAGTCGCTATGGCGCACCTTACTATCATATTCATCGCGGCGATCTGATGGCCGCTCTGGTTAACGCTGCGCATGCGCATACAGATATTGAACTTTATTCCGGGGTAGCAGTGAGCGGGTTTGACGACACGCCTGATGGTGTCTGCCTGATCGCAACAGCTGCATCACACACAGGCGATGTGCTGGTCGGTGCAGACGGTATTCATTCCAGAATCCAGGCTGTTTTATGGGGCGAACAAGCGCCTCAGTTTACCGGCAACGTGGCTTGGCGGGCACTGGTACCTGCCGCGCAGCTGCCGGCCAACCTGATTCGCCCGGTCTCCACGGTCTGGTGGGGTCCGGGCAAACACTTTGTGCACTACTACGTGGGTGGTGGTGAATGGGTTAATTGTGTTTGTGTGGTGGAAAAAAGCGGATGGCAGGTTGAATCGTGGACCGAGCAGGGCGACTTTGATGAGTTGCGTCAGGATTTTGCAGGTTGGCATAGCGACATACAGCAGTTATTGGAGGGTGTCGATAAAACCCAGTTGTACAAGTGGGCATTGTTTGACCGGGCGCCGATGTCGCAATGGGGTAAAGGCAGAGTGACGCTGTTGGGTGATGCGTGTCATCCCACCCTGCCTTTCATGGCCCAGGGTGCGGCCATGGCAATTGAGGATGCAGCGGTACTGGCTGGTTGCCTGAACGAAGCCTCTGATGTGACTGCTGCACTGCAGCGTTATGAAGATTTGCGTCGTGCTCGAACGGCCCGTATTCAGGCCGGCTCGCGGCGCAATGCTCGAGTTTTCCATCTGTCGGGGATACCGGCCTGGTTGCGTAACCGTGCAGCGAAACGCGCAGGCGGCCGCGCGATGGATGAACTCTACCGCTACGATGCGCTGAAAGTGGCCGTCACAGCAAGGCAGGCATAGTCTATGGGTACTCGCACAGTGACGGACAGCATGGGTTCGATGCAGGTTCCAGCAGATGCGTTGTGGGGTGCCCAGACGCAACGGGCCCTTGATAATTTTGCGATCAGTGGAGCGCCGATGCCGTTGGTATTCATCCAGGCGCTGTTGATGCTCAAGCGCGCTGCAGCACAGGCGAATACTGAATTAGGTCTGCTTGAACCTGACCTTGGCCAGGCGATAGCGCAAGCTTGTCTGCAGTTGAGTCAGGCTGAAGATCTGATGTCACATTTTCCGGTTGACGTCTATCAGACAGGTTCAGGCACCAGTACCAACATGAATGCAAACGAAGTGGTTGCCACGCTGGCCAGCGATTTGTGCGGCAGGGATATCAGTCCTAACGATCATGTTAATCTGGGCCAGAGTAGTAATGATGTCATTCCTTCAACCATTCATATCAGTGCTGCAATTGCTTTAAAAACCCAGTTGTTGCCAGCACTCGAACATCTGAGTGACCAGTTGCGCAGGAAAGCACTGCAGATCGGCCATTATGTTAAAACCGGGCGTACGCATCTGATGGACGCGATGCCCGTTACCCTGGGCCAGGTGTTGGGTGGCTGGACGGCTCAGGTGGATGCAAACATCAAGCAGCTGTCAGGTTTGATGGAATCTGTGCAATCGCTGGCCATAGGTGGTACGGCGGTTGGCACCGGCGTTAACGCACATCCCGAATTTGCCGAGAAAATCTGCCAGAAACTGTCAACGATCAGTGGTACCCACTTTGCAGTCACCACTAACCACTTTGCGTTGATTGGTGCTCAGGACACCGCGGTTGCGTTATCCGGAGGGTTGAAAACCTGTGCCGTCACATTGATGAAACTTGCAAATGACCTGCGCTGGATGAATTCCGGACCTCTGGCTGGCCTTGCAGAAATTGAACTACAGGCTCTGCAGCCGGGTTCGTCGATCATGCCGGGTAAGGTCAACCCCGTGATCCCTGAAGCGGCAGCGATGGTTGCCGCTCAAGTCATAGGCAACGATGCGGCGATCACGGTAGCCGGCCAATCCGGTAATTTTGAGCTGAATGTCATGCTGCCACTGATCGCCAACAATCTGCTCAATAGCATCAACCTGCTGAGTAACGTCATACCGCTGCTTGCAGATAAAGCCATAGCCACCTTCGAGGTGAATGAAAAGAGTATTGGCGCTTCGCTGCAGCGAAACCCCATTCTTGTAACCGCTCTGAATCCGGTGGTGGGTTACATGAAAGCAGCTGAGATAGCCAAACAGGCCTATGAACAAAATCGCCCCGTCGTAGAGGTCGCCGCAGAACTGACGGATATACCAATTTCAGAACTGCGCGTTTTGCTGGATCCAGCAAAACTGACCTGAACGCGGGCAAATTAGGTCGGGATCGATGCTTCAGCGCAGGCTTCAGAGATCCTCTGATAGTTGAACCAGCATCTTGCCGGTGTTTTCACCCTTGAGTAAGCCGATCAATGCCGCCGGTGCCTGTTCGATACCCTGCATGATCGTTTCGCTGTATTTCATTTGCCCGGCAGCTATCCATTTGCGCATATCTGTCAGGAATTGCTCGCGCAGATGTTCGAATTCGTAGACCACAAAACCTTTCATCGTGACGCGGTTATAAATCATATTTGAGAGCGTGGTGACGCCCTCTGAACGCGCACCTTTGTTATTGTAGGCCGAGATCATGCCACACACCGGGATGCGACCTAACGGGCGCATCTGGCCGCACGCCGCGTCGAGGTGTTCACCGCCGACGTTTTCGAAATAGACGTCAATGCCATTCGGTAAACCTTCGCGTAAAGACTTACGGATATCCTGGGTTTTGTAGTTGAAGGCATAGTCTATACCCAGTTCGTTGAGCAGGTAGTCGACCTTCTCCTGGGAGCCGCAGCTGCCGGCTACCCGGCAACCTTTGATTTTGGCGATCTGACACACCACGCTGCCGACAGCGCCTGCGGCTGCGGATACAAATACATTTTCCGAGTCTTTCAACTCGCCTGTAACCAGCAAGCCGCCATAGGCAGTCAGACCGGTGCCGCCAAGCACGTGCAGGTGTGTGGAGAGGGGTTCATCCTGCAGCGTGATGGTCCGCAAATCGCTGCTGTCACTGACATGATATTCGCGAAAACCTGCACGGTGGATAACATAGCTGCCAACGGCATGGTCGGGGTTGCTGCTGTGTAGAACTTTGCCAATAGCACCGCCCATCATAGGTTCGTCCAGCTTTGTCTGTCCATTGGTCAGCGGCGGGCGCATGGCGGGGTCGACGGACATGTAAATATTTTTTAGCAGCACATCGCCGTCGTCGCTGGATACGTTGGTTTCTATCAGGCCAAAATTTTCAGGCACCGGCAGACCATTCGGCCGAGACGTCAGGTGTATTTCACGATTTTTATAGTCAGTCATTATGTGTGTCCTCAGGTTTTTCAGATTCTGTATTGGTTGTTGATGTTTTCTTCGACGACCGTTTAGGTTCCGGTATCAAACCGTCGAGGGGGAATTCCGATGCGGCGCGCAGTCCTGCAATAGTACTTAAGTTGCGCATACTCTGTCTGGCGGATCCCATAAGCACCTTCAGCATCTGTGGTTCCTGGACTTGTCCTTTTTCCTCGACTAACGACAATCGGTGTAAAGAGTACAGGCCCACCAGAGTTGAAAATAAGAAAAAGAAATCCCAATGGCTGAAGTTCATGGCCTCCAGTTGCAGGTTATTCGCCTCGCTCTGCCAATGAATCGTCAGGCCCAGTTCCCAGGAAGAAAACAGGTCAACGGCGATTCCGCCTAACAGCGCCGCAATACCGGCAGCCGTCGCGTTCACCATTGAACTACTGGCAAGGTAGGCAGTAGACCCGCCAATGGGCGCTAGTTTGAGCGCGATGTTGCCAGAAGCCAGATTCACACCGGCAACGGCGAAGCCCGTCGCGATATGAATAAGAATCAGTAACGGGATCGTGAATCCGTGCGGCTCGGGCAGGGTGGTGAATGTCCAGGCAAAGATGCTCAGGATGAACACCGGGCAACAGGTAGCCAGCACAACCTTATTGCTGAAATGATCTGCAATGCTGCCCCAATAGCGGACGGTCAGGAATGAAGCGATCTGGCTGAGGGTGGCAAACGCAATAACCAAGGTCAGTTCGTATTCCAGTCGTTTGAGCATATAAACCGTAAAGAAGGGCGCAGCCAGATTGACGGCAAAATTCCAGCTCGCCAGGAAGCTGATCAGGCGCCGGTAATTACGGTTGGCGAAAGGTGCCCTGAGGTGGCTGATTATGTGCGCGTGGGAGGGTTCCATGACAGGTTCGAAGATCTTCCGCGCGCAAATGACAGAGTAGCTGCCACCAATAAAGGCCAGGGTGTACACCGTTGCATAAGCGTATTCTGTGGGCAGACCGGAAAATTGTTTCCACAGGTCAATGAAGGCGGCTGCCAGGAGGCTGAACAGGATGCCCACACCGATCATTTTCTGCTGACGGTTGCTGAACAGGCGACCCATTTCTGCATCCGGCACGAGATCCCGCATCCAGCTGTTCCAGGAGCAGCTCAGAAAAGCGCCGGCCGCATAGCGAATGGCAAAGGCTAACAGAATCAGCCATAACGCCTGCATGCCGGTATATACCACTGCTGCCACAGCAATCACCAACAGCATTGGTCGCGCGATCATGCCGCTGATCAGGTAAATCATTCGCCGTTTGCGTAACCGTTCTACAGTCCATAACGCAGGTACCTGCGCAACCTGGGCGATATGTGGAATGGCCGCGAGTGCGCCAATCATCCAGTTTGGCGCACCAAGCTGCACGGCCAGCGCGGTTAAAAATGCGCCAACAGCAAGGGTCTCCATGATCTGCACCCCAACACCGTTGCGAACAATCCAGCGTTCGCTGTCTTTAAGGTGGGTATTGTCGGGGCTATCTATGGGCTCGGTCATTAGTCTGCTTAGTGCTGTGTTGATGTTTCCTCAAGACCTACCCGCGTCTGGGTAGGTTCCAGGCGCGCAGGTATCTGGTGGAATTGCCGCGTACTAGACGGCAGAACATAGATTAATACAAGCCTGTTGTGGACGTGTTATAAAAGCTGTGAAGCAAGAAGGAAGTCTTATGAACTGTTCCAAGTGTGGCGGTGTATTTGAAGAGATAGAATACTCTGGTATCAAATGTAATCGTTGTGTCTCCTGCCAGGGCATTTTGTTTTCTATGCTTGATCATGAACATTTAAAGGGTATAGAAGGTTCTGAATCGATTGACATAGGCGATGCTCAAGTGGGCAAACAGTACAATAGCGTGCACCGAATTGCCTGCCCGGAGTGTGCAACGCGCATGATTCCTATGGTGGATCGTGATCAGCCGCATATCTGGTACGAAGCCTGCACATTCTGTTACAGCGTCTTTTTTGACGCAGGGGAATTCACAGATTTCAAAGAAAAGACCGTTCTGGACTTTTTTCGAGATCTCCTGGCTGGCGAACGAAAGTAAATCAGACATGACCAACATCAGATTTGCAAAGGGGCTGATCGGGCTCATCGGATTGGTTTTTGGTGCCTCTGTTTACGCTGATGAAGATTTGCGCATGTACCTGGAAGGGCTGCGTGCAGGTGCACCGGCGGTTCTAGCCGGACAGACCCTGAAAAGTGCAGATGCGGTGATGGCGTTCTACCTGGAAAATAATCATCAGCCGGTATGGGTCCAGGGTGGCGCGCTGGAAGCGGAGCGCAAGACCCTCCCAAATGCGATTGAGCTTTCCCAGGCGCATGGGTTTATCGCCTCTCGCTACCACTACGGTTTTCTAACCGATCCGCTTGACGAAGAGCGGGCTGAATATGTCACCGAAATTCTGGCAACCGATGCTTTTCTGACCCAGGCCAGGCATCGCGCAGGCGGGGTGGTGTCGCCTGCCAGTCTGGACCCGGATTGGCATTTAGTAGACACGGAGCATGATGTCGTGGAAGACCTCAAACTCTTGTCCAGTCAGGGCGGCAGTGTCGCGGCTTACCTCGAGGGGTTGTGGCCACAAAATGAAGACTATCGGCTGCTGATAGAGGAGCGCAGCCGAATCGCGGCGCAAGCTGACACACGAAGTGAGGTTGTCCCGTCAGGACCACTGCTGAAAATGGGTTCTACTGGCCCGCGTGTGTTGGCGCTTAAGCGAAGGCTGCTGGGGCCGGACGAATATACAGACATGTTTGATGAGGCCCTGGACCGAGAGGTACGCATATTTCAGATCAGCGCAAATCTGGAACCCGACGGGCTTGTCGGCCCGTCAACGTTGGGTACGCTGAATGCTACCCAGATTGATTGGATCAATCGGATCGACGCTAACCTGGAAAGATGGCGTTGGTTGCCGCAGCAGATTCCGGAAGACTATATCAGTGTAAATATTGCTGCTTTTGAACTTAAAGCAGTGCACCAGGGTATGGAAGAGTTCACGATGCGGGTCATCGTGGGTAGAAATTTTCGAGAAACGCCGGTGTTCGTTGAGGATATGAGATATTTTGTCCTCAATCCCTATTGGAACGTACCATTTAAATTGGCCACAGAAGACAAGCTGCCCAAGTTGAAAACGAATCCGGCTGAACTGTCCCAGGCGGGTTACCAGGTCCGACGGTCGGGTGAAGAATCGTTTATTGATGTGACCAGCGTGGATTGGAGTTCAGTCAGTAAGCGCAACTTCAATTTTCTATTGCGCCAGCAACCGGGACCGAGTAACGCACTGGGGCGCATAAAGTTCATGATGCCGAATGAGTTTTCCATTTACCTGCACGATACAAACGACCACACTTTGTTCGCCAAAACAGAGCGCGGGTTCAGCTCTGGTTGTATCCGACTGTCTGACCCGGAACAACTGGCTTCATGGCTGTTGCACAGAGAGGCGCGGGTGGAAGATGCGTCGAAGCTTTCTTCGCAACTTGCAGATGGCCAGACCCGTACGATAAACCTGCGCAAGCCTCTGCCTGTGTATATTGTTTATTTCACAGCCTTTAAAAGCGCAAGCTCTGATATTTCGTTTCGTCGTGATATTTATCAACGCGATGAAAAAATAGTGAACGCGTTAAGGCAGGAGTAAGTAATCGTGTTGGTGAGATTGTTGTTTATTGTCTCAAGTATGCTTTTTGCTTCGGCTGCCTTGGGGTGGGATTCGCAGCGCTCATCTCTACCGCTTATTGTTGATGGGCGCGTTGTTCCCTATATGGTTTTTGCCATCTATCTGATGCCTGGACAGTCTTTTGATGTTCAGTTGCAGACTAAAGAAAGACGGGGGTGGTATACATTTGCTGGTCAGGAAGGTCAGTTGGAAGGTGCTGATCTGGTTGCACCAATGCTGCCAGGGTTATATCCCATGAATATTCAATCGGACCTGGCGTCTGACGCGCGACAACTGAACGTATTCGTGATGGTGCCAGCAACTGAACAAACTAGTGACAAGACCTTAAACGGCTATCGAATCGGCGCTTACCCAGCAACCCCGTATAAAGGTTTAGACATTTATAAAGCGCCACTGGGATTTGTTGAGGTGACGCAAGAGAATTTGAATACACTGGTGTCGCCAAATTTCAGAATCAGGCAGTTTCTAGCCAAGCAGGATCAAGGGTTTCCGAAATATATTGTCCTGAAAGCAAATCTTCTGCTTAAACTGGAAAATATTCTTGCCTCATTGAACCAGAACGTGAAACCCATAGATGGATTCACCGTTATGAGTGGTTATAGAACCCCCTGGTACAATCGGGCAATCGGAAATGTACCAAACAGTCGTCACGTGTTTGGCGGCGCAGCAGATTTTTATGTCGACGATCAGCCAAAAGATGGGCAGATGGACGATATGAATGGTGACGGAAAATCCGATAAAAAGGATGCCCAGTGGTTGGCTGCGTACATTAACAGCATGTCGCAACGCGGTGAGTTCGGTAAGCGAATTGGTGGCATCGGCGTTTATGGCAGTAATTCAGCCCATGGGCCTTTTGTGCACGTGGACGTGAGAGGCGCGCGAGCACGCTGGTGAGCGGCGTTTACATCTACTTCTGGCACCACTGTGCTAGCATCTCTAACTAAGTTTATCAGGCGAAGGGGTGGTGAATGATGTCTGAACTGCAGGAATTGATCAAAGCTTACCCTGAGCTGGCTGCACTTGGTGTTCTAATTTCTGGAGTCGTTCTTGCCCAGCTGTTGAGCAAAGTTGTAGCGGTGGCGTTAACCGCCTTAGATCATCGTTTAGCCAGGTACAGCGTTACCGGAAAACAGGTTGTATCGCCGAGTCTTGTGAAAATAGGCAGAACCCTGACTTTTTCGCTGGTGGTACTGGTTGCTGGTGTCTTTGCGATTTCACTGCTGGATATCACAGACTTCCCGCTTATTGTAGACGGCCTGTTTACGTTTCTCGGTCGATTGCTGTTCGGCATTGTTATTCTCGGTCTGGGGCATTTATTGGGGTTGCTTGCGCAAGGCACGCTGGAACGAATTGCAAACCCTTCGCCCCAACTCGATCTAGTCTCCAAGGTGGTTTATTTTTCTACGATGTTCGTTGCGGCAGAGCTGGCGTTGTCGCATTTAGAGATCGACACGAGTTTCATTACGGAACTGCTGCTGCTCGTGGTAGCACTGGTGCTGGGGGGCTTGATGCTTGCCTTTGCACTTGGGGCAAAAACTTATGTTGGGAATCTGCTTGCGCAAACGGAAATGCAGCGATACAGCGTTGGTGAAAAAATCAGGATACAGGACGTGCAGGGGAAAATTTTGCAGGTCTACTCGACAGGTCTGGATCTTGAGACTGACAAAGGTATTGTCTTTGTTCCTGCCAGCCAGTTTGCCACCACGCCAGTTACACGCTTAGCCGAGGAAGATCAAAAGTGAACGCGATGGGCGCGCTCAGCATAAAGTATGCGGAACAGTTTCCGGAACTATTTGCCATGGAGATAAACGGATACTCTGTCAACGAAGCGGCGGATGTCCTCAACACGCTACCTGACAAAAGCATTCTCGCAGTGATGACCCATCTTGAATCTGCGCAGTTGCATGGGATTGTTGCGGGTAACTTGTTATCTTCGGACCAGCTGTTTGCAGAATCGACCCTCGATCAGGCCTCGGTTCTGCTGACCAGATTGCCAAAAGAGCTTGCGCGTCAATTAGTCGATTCTGTTGCAAATAAATCAAAACGAAGGGAGCTGGGTCGATATCTGAATTATCCTGCTCACAGTGTGGGCGCGGTTGTATCCAAGCCCACCTTACAATACAGAAGTACCGACCTAGTGAGCACCGTGATTGGCGATTTAGCGAAGCGTGAAGACCGATCTGAACCGTCGATTCTGGTGGTCGATGCGGAGAGTAAGTATCTTGGGGTCTTGGAAACCTGGCAGTTGTTCCGCGCCATGAATACGAATTTGGCTGTGGCTGGTTTGATCAATGAGGTTGAGCCTTTACTGGCAGAAATTGATCATTCCACCGCCATGTTAAATGAGCTGTGGACAACCCGCAGTTGGATCCCCGTAATTGATTACCAGCGACGTCTGATCGGAATTTGTCGCCAGGGACACCTCGCCCAGGAGTATCAGCAGTTGGAACCACCGCCGCCGCACGCTTTGGCCCGTTCAGTGGAAGCTATGGTTGGGCAGATGTTTCATATTTTCCTGTCTTTGTTCGAACTGCTTTTAAGTCGAAGTAAAAACCGATGAACACAGTCACTGATTTAGGCCGGTCATTTATCAGACGGCAACCTGAGGCCGCTGCTCGGGTTCTTGAAAAACTGCCGCTGGCGGAGTTATCAGCAGAAATCCAATTTTGCGATGCAGGTGAATTGACACCTGCGCTGGAAGTCATGGCGACCAGTACGGTACTGACAATATTCCAAACGCTGACGGAACCGATGCAGTGTAGTGTCTTGGAACTGGCTTCCCCGCGACTGGCTATGCTGATTTTTGATGGCTTGGACAGTGGGCATCGAGATCAGCTGTTGCAGGTATTGCCGCCGGCTATTGCTGAAGATTTAACTCGGCTTATGCAGTTTCCGCCATATTCTGCCGGTCGCATGATGGACCCGCCTTTTGAAACGGTTCGAGTGCACACAACAGTTAACGAGTTGCGTGATTTGTTGCGCTCCTCGAGCTTGCGTCGAGCCCGGTCCGTATATGTCGTAGATGATCGTAACAAGCTTGCGGGGCGTGTCGATATGCAAGCACTAGCCCTTGCAGAGGCCGGTCAGGACATCAGTCAAATCATGGTTGGCGTTGAAGGCAGCGTGCTTGCAACAGCGGGGCGTGAAGAAATAGTTGAGCAATTAGATCGTCTGCGGGTGGATTCAATCCCTGTGGTGGACGTAGAAGGCAGATTGCTGGGTGTTGTGCGTTATCAGCGTCTGTTTGATGCTTTAGAGAGTGTTGCGACCGCTGACCTGCAAAAAATGGTGGGTGCCAGTGCGGACGAACGGGCGATGTCGAAAGCCTCTTTTGCGGTAAAACGGAGGCTGCCCTGGTTACACATCAATCTGTTAACCGCTTTCCTTGCGGCATCCGTCGTTGGGTTGTTTGAAGGATTGATTTCGCAATTCACAGCCCTTGCTGTGCTTTTACCCGTTGTAGCGGGGCAGTCGGGAAATGCGGGTTCCCAGGCCCTGGCCGTGACCATGCGTGGTTTGGCGTTGCGGGAAATAGGTACACGTCACTGGCGTAGTGTCCTGAACAAAGAGGTACGCGTTGGTATAGTTGATGGACTGGCGTTAGCGTTGACCTGTGGTCTAGGGGTATTCTGGTGGAGTCAATCCTTCGGTTTGGCACTGGTCATCGGTGTGGCCATGATCCTTTCGATGATAGCCGCGGGTATTTCCGGCGCTCTGGTTCCCATTGTTCTGATTCGGCTCGGACAAGACCCGGCGACAGCCGCCTCTATTATTCTAACCACGGTGACAGATGTCGCCGGTTTTTTTGCATTCCTTGGAACCGCATCGTTGCTATCGTTTATGCTGTGATGTCTGCGTTCAGCGTCTAACTGTCGGAGTAATTAGTCAGGATTTTGACCGGTGCAATCAGCAAGGGGTTGGCTGTGCCGAGCTTGTTCTGGTCCTTGCCTGTGTATTCGAACTGGCTGAGGACATAGCGCATGGTTTCCAGGCGGGCGCGTAATTTATCTTCACCTTTGACGATGATCCAGGGTGCTTCAGCGGAGTCCGTGCGTCTGAACGTTTCTTCTTTTGCCTGGGTATAGTCGTCCCAGCGACTCTGCGCTTCTTTGTCTACAACTGAGAATTTCCACTGTTTCAGGGGGTTAGTCGCCCGTTCTTCGAAGCGCTGGGCCTGTTCCTGACGACTGATAGAAAGATAGAATTTGATAATAAACGTACCGCTCTTCACCAGCATACGTTCGTAATCAGGGGATTGCACAAGAAACTGCTGGTATTCCTCATCGCTGCAGAAGCCCATTACTTTTTCAACGCCAGCACGGTTGTACCAGGATCTATCGAAAAAAACGATTTCACCAGCACTTGGCAGGTGTTGAACGTAACGCTGGAAATACCATTGTCCAGACTCTCTTTGGTCAGGCTTTTCCAGCGCAACCACTCTTGCGCCTCGGGGATTGAGGTGTTCCATAAAACGTTTGATGGTGCTGCCTTTGCCTGCTGCGTCCCGGCCTTCAAAAATCACAACGAGTTTGTTACCGGTTTCTTTGATCCAGTTCTGAAGTTTCACGAGCTCAATCTGGAGTTCTCGCTTTTCTTCAAAGTACTGCTTCGGTTTCAATCTCTCGCTGAAGGGATAGATGTTGTCAGCAAAATAGCGACGGATAGTCTCTGCAGAAATTTCCGCGCCTGCTGGCGGTTTTCCTGCGATGGGCTGTCGATTGGACTCATCAAGATCCAAAGAATCGAGGATGTAGTCAGTCCATTTGTCGTCCATGCAAGCTCTCTCCTGTTTCAGTTCTGGGGTCCAATTCGATCAATGCCTGCGTAGATTTGGCGGTGCCAACAAACAGATTCGTGTTTTCAGGTGGTTCGCGATGTTTGATCAGCCAGATGAGAATCCAGATGAAACACAGGGTTAAACCAGCAGCCAGATAGGCAAGAAAGCCCGATGGTCCGATTTGCGCCATCGCATTTGCGCCAAGCAGAGGTCCTGTAATCGAACCTGCGCCGTTGACCAGTAGGATCACCGTGCCCACCTGCAGGAATTGCCCTGGGTAGCGATCGTTTGCATGCGCCAGGCACAGAGGGTAAATGGCAATAGCACTACCGCCGATGATGAAAAACAACAGCATTACCAGCCAACTGGGAGGCTGTTGCAGCAGAGTGCCAACAATCGCTGTGATGATGCCAATAATCAACAATCCCATCATGACTTTGCGGCGATCGTAGCGATCGGAAATATGTCCAGCGGGAAGCTGAAAAGCCGCGCCTCCCAGCACCATGACTATCATCAGCCAGGCAATCTCGCTGACGGACAACCCCGCAATCTTGCCGAATACGGGGGTCAGACCAAACAACGCGCCGGTAACGGTACCGATGGCAAGTGCGCCGCCAACAGCAGCGGGGGAGGCGTGATAGATATCCTTGAAGCGAAACTCGAGTGTTGCAAGCGGTGCAGGCTGTTCAACTTTCGACAGTGCTACCGGAATGATGGAGAGAGACAGCAGCAGGGTGCCCAGTACGATGGTGGTGAAGCCGCTGGGACTGCCCAGGTTAATCAGTAATTGCCCGACACTCATCGACAACAGAACGATCACCGTATAAACAGCCAGGATGCGCCCTCGCTTGGCATTATTAGTGTACTCATTCAGCCAGCTCTCGATAACCAGGTAACAACCTGAAATGCCGATACCGGTCATTAAGCGTAGCCCGGACCACACATAGGGGTCGTCTGATAGAAGGATGCACAACAGAGCGGCGCCGTTGATGGTGGTCAGGGTTGAAAAGGTACGGATATGACCTACGGCTGCTACAAACCTGGGAATAAAGATACAGCCCAGCAGGAAGCCGAGAAAATAGAAAGAGCCCGTCATCCCAATGTCGTTTATCGACCAGCCGAGTGACTCAGCCCGTAATGGTAACAACGTCAGCTGCAGGCCGTGACCGATCAGCAATATGATCACTGACGCGAACAGAACGGCAAGACTCCGGGTGCGGGACAGCATCAATTCAAGTTTCCTTTTATTGTGCCTGACCGTTGATTGATATGGGCTTATCTGATGCAAACAGTTTTAAAAATTTACGCTCACCTTCCGGGGTGCCGATCAAAACGATTTCTTCGTTGGCCTGCAGACGTGTGTCGGGTTCCGGGTTGGTGATGGTCCGGTTGTCTTTGTCGATACCAATAACGCTGCAGGTTGTCAGGTGTTTGATATTCGCTTCTTCCAATGTCTTATCAACAAGTTGTTGAGGCACCTCTACTTTGAAAACATCCAGACCTTCAGCAACCATCAGAAGATCGCTGCGCTGGAGCAGGTTAAACAGTGCGTTTGAGCCCATCGAAGCATAAGACATGACAATGTCGGAGCCTGCCCGGTGCAATCCTGCAACGCTGGTTTCCAGGCTTGCGCGGCAGATAATCTGGATATCCGGGCGCAGCAAGCGGGAAAAAATTGTCAGATAGGTGTTTGTCTCATCGTCTTTTGTTGTAATGATGACAGTGGGTGCTTTGTCGATGCCTGCCTGGCGCAATATGTTTTTGTCCGAAGCGGACCCTAGAATGTATTTATCCGAATCTGGTACGCGCTCTGGAATCTGTTCAACGATGCGATAGTCGATGCCGCGTCGTGCCAGCGCACGAGCAGTGGCACGACCTACGCGGCCGCCGCCGATAATGATGACGGGTTTGTGTTCGCTTGTTTGCATTTCGTGACAATACAATCGGTTGAACTCATCAAGCTGGGCTTTTGATCCAGCCATCACGAGAAGGCTATGGGGTTCGATCTTGCTGTCCTGTTCACCGACTTGAAAGGTGCCACGATCCCAGAAACCGACGATGCTGACGCTGGTTTGTCGTTGTGCGGTAATGTAGTCGATGCCCACTAAATTAGTTTTGGATGCATCCACTTCGGCAATCAGGAGGTCATCAATATTGCCGATGATGTGAATCAGCTCGTTACCCCCAATTGCACGCCTTGCCAGGCTCTCAGACATCAGATGTGTTAAATCGAGTACCCGTGACGAGCCTGCCAGGCGCAACACATCTTTAGAGTCGCTGTCTCTGGCGGTAGCGATGACCGGTGTGGTTTTAGTGATACCGCGTACGGTAAAAACTATTGATGTATTGGCGATGTCTGTGCGGGTCGTGGCAACCAGGGAAGCCTGTTCCACCCGCGCGTTGATATACGTTTCCGGCAGATTAAGCTCGCCATGAATCGCGTTAATGCCGTGGTCAATCAACTGCATGACCTCATCTGCTTCCGGCAGAATAACCACGTATGGATATTTGAACTGTTTGAGTTTTGCGATCAGTGCACTGGCTACCGGGCCATAGAACGTCATGATGACGTGCCCGGTTAAGTTGTCGTTTACTTTCCGAGGAATGCGATTCGCAGCACGCATTTCAACCCAGGGTGCGTAGAAGAGCTCCATAAATGTAAATGGCAGTAGCACCAACATGAAGATTACGCCAGACAGCAATACGAATATAGAGAACAAACGACCCGGGTCTGAAACAAAACTGACGTCACCATAGCCAAGCGTCGACATGGTCGACAAAGTCCAGTAGAAGCCGGTCACCCACGAGTGTGTCTGACCCTCGTAGGCCATGAGCAGCTGAAAGATCACCGAGAAAAGACAGATGAGCCCCAGCAGTACGGCTACAAATCGGAGTAACCCCAGCAAATTGCGCTGCTGCAGCAGTTGCAGCATTCGGTGTCTTGGTAGCTCTGAGTTCATGAGGGGCGTTCGGGTATTTTCAAGCCAGCAGGAGGTTGCAGATCATCACGTTGCGCATAGTACATGATGGCGCTGGTTTTGTGCCCCCGGCAATGTGCATTTAGTAAAACGTAATACCATCTCCATGCCAGGTATCGGCTACAATGGCCTTCGCTTATCTGATTGTTATTCTTGATGGAAAATCTTGTCTGGCTTGGCATAGTCCTGTGTGTGACTCAATCTGCTATGTTTTCAGGTCTGAATCTGGCCTTCTTTGGGGTTTCACGGTTGCAGCTGGAGGTGGAAGCTGAAACCAATATCAGGGCCGAGCGCGTCCTGCGCATGCGCCAGGATTCAAACTTTCTGTTGACGACCATTTTGTGGGGCAACGTCAGTATCAACGTGCTGCTCACGTTGTTGTCCAACTCCGTGCTGACGGGGGTGATGGCGTTCGTTTTCTCAACCTTTGTGATTACTTTTTTAGGCGAGATCTTTCCGCAGGCCTATTTCTCTCGCAATGCGTTAAGGATGGCATCGTTACTTTACCCAATTCTCCGGTTGTATCAGATTATTCTCTATCCGGTTGCCAAACCTGCAGCCATGATTCTGGATGCGTGGCTTGGCAAGGAATCTGCCGAACTGTTTCGAGAGCAGGTGATCAAAGATATGTTGATGAAACATGTCGAAGCCCATGATAGCGATGTGGGCGAAGTGGAGGGTATCGGCGCGCTCAACTTTCTGGAGATTGACGATCTTGAGGCTTTTGAGGCGGGGGCGCTTATCGACCCGTCCAGTGTGTTAAAGCTGCCGACAGATATAGATCTGCCGCGCTTGCCCGAGCACAAACAGACCGCTGATGACCCCATCCTGCAGAAGATTCACGCGTCTGGCAAAAAGTGGGTGGTGCTGGCAGACCTCAAAGGTGAGCCCCAGCTCCTGCTGGATGCGGATGAATTCCTGCGTGCATCGTTGCTCGATAAAGGGCCGATTAATCCATACAAGTATTGTCACCGCCCGATTATCCTGACCAACCCAAAAACCAAATTGGGTAAAGTGTTGCTCTTGTTGCGGCAGAGTAAAACGGTCAATCGCGGGGTGATTGAAAATGATGTTGTGCTGATCTGGTCGGCACAGCCAAGGATAATTACCGGGGCTGACCTGTTCGATCGCCTGCTGCATGGAATCAAGTGATCGCTGTCATACTCTTTTTGTTAACAATACACAGGCTGTGAAGGACAATTCGGTTGAATCAGGTTAATGACGACTCATATATTACTGCCTTATTGGATGTGCTGAAAAATTCTACGGATGCAGATCGTTATCCGTTAGTGCAGGTGTTCACCAGGGCTCTCTGGTCCAGGTCGTTGGAAGAAGATGTCGCTTCGCGAGACGTGCGCGATGATATGGGTGGCACTATCGTAGCCTTTCAGCATCTACAGGACCGCCGGTTAGACGAAGTCAGTTTCCTGCTTAAAAATCCGATACGGACCCGGGATGGCTGGCATTCGGAGCACAGTGTGGTGGTGGTAGCTGCGCCTAACATGCCGTTCATGGTCGATTCTGTATTAATGGCCCTGTCTCATGATGGTTTGGTTACCCATCACTTGAATAATGCTGTTTTTGCTGTGGAGCGTGACGCGGACGGCAAGCTCCTGAATCTGTCCACTGAAGTCGATCATGCGAACCGCGAACTGATCATTTATGCGGAAATCGATCGCTTGGAAGATGATGCTTTGCCCCAGCTGCAATCCAAGCTTGAGTCCATGGCCAAAGACCTGCAGGCCGCGGTCACCGATTTCCCGAAGATGAAAATCAAGATGGAGGCGTTGATTGATGACTTAAAGCACAATCCGCCTCCTCTGGATGAGCACGATATCAGCGAAAGTATTGCTTTTCTGGAATGGCTGCTGGCCAATCATTTCACTTTTCTTGGAGTGCGGGAATTTCAATATAGCGACGGCGTCATTCGTCAGACGGGTCAGGCATTGGGTACCCAGCGGGTCAGACCTTCGGCGACGGAACGCACCATCGCCGCGCAACCCCAGCGTACTCAGGATTTTCTATTGAAGCCTAAGCCACTCACGTTCTCCAAATCCGGGACGAAGTCTCGAGTGCACCGGCCAGCATATCCAGATTACGTGGGTATCAAACAGTTTGATGAGCAGGGTCGTGTCATTGGTGAAACGGGCTTTTTAGGACTCTACACCTCCAGGGTATACATGGAGTTGCCAGAACGTATTCCTGTCGTTCGCCACAAAGTGTCAAACGTTCTGCAAAGGTCCGGTCTGGATCCATCAGGTTTTGACGGCAAAGTTCTGGGGCAGGTTTTAGCAACCTATCCACGTGATGAACTGTTTCAGATCACTGAAACAGAGCTGTATGAAACAGCAATGGTCATTACGGATATACATGAGCGCAGGCGTGTCCGTGTGTTCGCACGTTACGACGCGTACGGGTTGTTTGTGAACACTCTGGTGTACATGCCCAGAGACCTGTTCAGCACCTCGGTCCGGTTAGAGCTGGAAGCGCTGTTGGTGAAGACTTTTGCTGCTGAAGACTCTGAATACGATATTCTGTTATCGGAATCGATTCTTATAAGGGTTCAGTTCATTCTGCGCGTGAGCCCCGGCCAACAGATTCAAGTCGACCGCATTGGGCTCGAACAGCGTATCGCTGAACTGATAGGCGATTGGAATTCAGAGCTCTACGAAGCGCTGGTCAGTCAATTCGGCGAACGTGCTGCGTTAGTTATGCGCAACAGCTATGCGGACGCTTTTTCCGCTGGTTACCGCGAGTCTTTTACAACCATTGATGCGATTGATGATATCCAGGTGATCGAGCAGTTAACTGAGCTTTCACCCCTCAGTACACGGCTTTATCGCGTACCTGGTGATCCGTCAGATCTCCTGCATCTGAAGATATTTCATCGGGGAGCAGCTTTGCCGCTATCTGATGTGGTGCCTAAGCTTGAAAACCTGGATCTGCGCGTCATCGGCGAACACCCCTACGCGGTGGCTCGCAAGGATGCAGATTCTGTTTCGATTCAGGTTTACGAACTCCGATTTACCGGTGAGCTGGATCTGCAGGAAGGCGGTGAGGATCTGAACGATGCATTTATCAATGTCTGGAATGGTTTTGCTGAAGATGACAGCTTTAACCGTCTGATCTTGCGAGCAGGTTTGTCCTGGCGACAGGTGAGTGTCCTGCGCGCCTTTGCTCAGTATATGAAGCAAATTAGATTTGGCTTCTCCCAGGCGTTTATCAGTGAGGCATTGTTTCGTCACGCGGACACTGCCAGCCTGTTGGTGGACTATTTTGAACGTAAATTTGCAGTGGACGGTCAGGACTCTGATAGTGCCTCAGTGCTCGATCTGGAAAGTATCAAGCAACGTATAACCACTGCGTTGGATGACGTGGAGCTTTTGAACGAAGACCGTATTCTGCGTCGGTTTCTGGAACTCATGGATGCCAGTAAGCGCACCAACTATTACGTGACAGATGCCGAAGGTAAGCATCGTCCCTTTCTGTCTATCAAGTTTATGCCCAGGGAAATCACTGCCATGCCTCTACCGGTGCCGCTGTACGAGATCTTCGTCAGTGCACCCTATCTGGAAGGCGTCCATCTTCGTGCAGGCAGCATTGCGCGAGGTGGCCTGCGTTGGTCGGATCGCCTTGAAGACTACCGTACAGAAGTGCTGGGTCTGGTCAAAGCCCAGGTGGTCAAAAATGCTGTCATTGTGCCAACGGGTGCAAAAGGTGGCTTTGTGATCAAGGACGCTCGAGCGGGAATTGATGGATACCAGGACTTCATCCGTGCTCTGTTGGATGTCACAGATAATATTGTAAATGGCGAAGTGAAAACACCGGATCAGGTGGTGGCCGTAGATAACTCTGACCCGTATTTTGTTGTCGCTGCAGATAAAGGCACAGCCACCTTTTCCGATACAGCCAATAATATTTCCAGGACATACGATTTCTGGTTAGGGGATGCATTTGCATCTGGCGGTTCTAACGGCTATGACCATAAAAAAATGGGCATTACTGCTCGAGGTGCCTGGGTCTCAGTGCAAAGGCACTTCGCTGAAATGAATATAGACGTGCAGACAGATCCAATCACAGTGCTTGGCGTCGGTGATATGAGCGGTGACGTTTTTGGTAATGGCGTGTTGAGATCGGAATCGTTGTTGTTGGTCGCCGCGTTCAATCACCTGCATATATTTATTGACCCAAACCCCGATGCAGCGGCCAGTTATGCTGAGCGCCAACGCCTGTTTGCGTTGCCACGTTCCAGTTGGAGCGACTACAACGAGGCATTGATCAGCGCTGGCGGTGGCGTATTTTCGCGCACCAGCAAACGCATCACCGTGACCCCTGAAATGTCTGCTCGATTTGATATACCACAAGGCGATATGGCGCCTGATGATCTCATCCACGAACTGTTAAAGAGCCCTGTTCAGCTGATCTGGAATGGTGGTATCGGAACGTACGTGAAAGCCAGTTCTGAGAACCACGAAGAAGTTGGTGACAGAATCAATGATCACCTGCGCGTTAACGCTGACGAACTCAAAGCCAGGGTGGTTGGTGAGGGCGGTAATCTGGGGATTACGCAACGCGCGCGGGTAGAGTTTGCGCTGAAAGGTGGCGCCGTTAATACAGACTTTATTGACAACTCTGCAGGTGTCGACTGTTCCGACCACGAAGTGAATATAAAAATTGTTTTAAACGAATTGGTTGCGCGTGAAGATTTAACGCGCAAGCAACGCAATTCCGTTTTGGAATCAATGACGGACGAAGTGGCCGCTCTGGTGTTGGCCAACAGCTTTGATCAGGCGCAAACGTTAAGCCTGGCGGTACGGCATGAGAAAGGTCATCAGAGTGAGTACCAGCGCTTGATGGGTGTGCTGAGTACCCATGCCGGATTGAACAGGGCGCTTGAATTCCTGCCCTCGGATGAGAGTCTGGCGGAAAGATATGTGAATGAAGACAGTTTAACC